AAAATTGCGCATTTTATTACCCTGAAGTTTGTGAATCCACTTCTCCATGTGCTTGGCAATTTGATTGCCGAAATATTATGTTTATATGCCCATCGTTTTGCACTGTGGGCAACTTTCATAAAATGTGTAGTATGTAAAGGATGCAATTCACCTCTTCTACACTGATCGCAGACGTTTGTATGTTATGTAATGGTTACCACCACTTGCGTCGATGATGGCCGAACTGCCACCCTGGACATTCGGCTTGCTTATAATTCCACTGGGATATTACCACAAGACTGGCCAGGTCTGATTAATTTTTCTGCCCAGACAGCTTATTAGTGTAGTAAAAACCGCCGAACCATGACTTCAACGGCCTGAGTTACTTTATGTCTCGTCGAAGTTGAAAGATATACTCTAGTTCATTTCAGAAGTCTTACATCGGCAGTTTATTTGCGCATGACGCTATCTGATCGAGAAAATGAGCCAAAATCTTCACTTTTCGGAAGGCCTCTATTTAGCGTGGCTACGATGTCTGCTTGGAAACCGAGAGTAATGTGTTGTCGAAAGGTGTTTCATACAAACCTCCGAAAAAGCGAAGCTGAGATGATAAACGGTGTGACTCCAAATTCGTGCAACATGCCAGCATTTGTGAAGGGTTGATAATCCCTCGTTAATCGGCTTTGAGTAAGGTTTTAATATTGATTATCGTGTAGCCTATTCTAAAGTCATTTTAGTTCCGATGGGATGCCGGCTTTTTAACAGGCTCCCTTCTGACCGCTAACAAAAAGTATGCACTGTAAAAATGGCTACTCAAGTAGTATGAATTTTTATCATTGATGTTGACCGCCTTTAAAAAATTCAAATATATTTTATGGAAAAACATGCACAAACAAATTATTTCTTGTATTTGTTAAGTAGCAAAGTACGCCTTCCTTACAGTTAATACTTAAAGAAAGGGTATCTTTCGGTTTCAAAAAATTTCTTAATTGCCGAATTATTTTGAAACCTACCGAATGCTACACCTGAATTTAAGGTTTAAAATCTGCACGCTGTGTACATCCTGCTTAAGGAGAAATACGTTTTTGCCTATGGCTTCAGGAAGAACTCACATAGTTCTCATAAAATTTTGCAAAAGATGTAGTTCATACTGTATACACTATAAGTAACATTAAAAAATTTACGGATAAAAGGTTTTTGAATGAACTCCTCACAATTGTTAAAAAGCTCTTAACTAGCCATTTTTCTTAAACCAAAGGACACCCTTTCTTTAAGTTCAAAATCTAAAGAAACCATAATTTTCTACCAAAGGATTGTTTTTTCCATTGTTTCCATAAAACATATTTGATTCATAAAGACAGTCAAAATCAATTATAAAAATGCATAGTACGCAAGTGGCCCTTTTTACGATATATGTTTTGTTAGCAGTCAGAAATAGGCTCGTTAAAAAAATCAGCACCCTATTCTTCCTGAATTGACTTGAGAATAGGCTGCAGGATAGTCAGTAGTACAACCTTACCCAATGCCGACCAGCGAGGGAGTATCAGTCTTTCGCAAACGTAAGCGTTTTGCACGAATTGGGAGCCTTACTGTATAGTATTTCAACTAGGTAAAATAATATTTCGGATATCCCAATACTGCTGCCACTTGAGAACTGGCCAACGCAGTTAAAAAGTATTAGGAGATAATCCAGTTCTGTGAATTAATGACTGAAAATGTTACGACATTCGTTGAACCAGGAGTGACTACACGAATCCGTGAGTGGTACATGATTTGTGACCCAGCAATGAAAAATGGACGGTGTAAGCTGTTTGGTGAAATGTCCCACGAGTACAGCAAACTACAGCGTAGCCTCTTGTCAAAATGCTCGTCTAGAGTTTAGACATTAATTTCGCCAGTCCAGCCAACAGCGAATTTGCAGACGAAATCTTTTACCTTCATTTGGGATACGAGTTGTTCCGTATAAGTTTTCTATTTCTCTGGACAAGTTTATATGCCTCAAATGTAAGAGATCCGATAACGGACTACAAGCGTTCCTTGCTAAGTACATATCCTCCAGTCTTAACCACTACCTGATGCTTGCTTTTAATCTGCATACAAACGAAGCTTCAAATGGTCTCCTTAAGTAGGCGCTGCGCCAAAATTCGGAGCCGGTAAAGCTTGGCCACTCATTTTGTCTGTTCTGCATCAGAAATAAGGAGCAGTTTTTCCCTGTCACGAATTTAGAGCATGTAATTACCGCAAGATTTATTGGAGTGAGCTTGAGCAATAGCCATTAGGCCTAAATATCCCTTGTCTTCCAGTTCCCTTTGTTAACTATGAACGTGAAGAAACTGCGCCCTTACTCAAGCACAATCAAGGTTTAGGCAAGGACGCCTTTCCTTGAGACTAAGGTTGTTTATAAATAATAGGGCTTCCAAAAACTGACACCACATTCAACAAAATCAAGTGGACGTTTCCTCATTTTTGAATGCTCACTTCTCAAAATAACATAATGCAACAAAATTTACACAATACAGCGTAACACTACAAAGGCGAATGTTACTTGCTATCGTAAACTGGTGCTCCATGATTATGACCTACTTTCAACAGACAACTTATGTTTAACACATCATTTCCACCTAATAACTTAATGTATACTGAACATTGGAGACCGAGACCCCACGCATTATTGGGCGAAGCCCCTAAGAGACGTCTTTTTATTAAGACTTCTACTGGTTATTTTTATCAAAACTTTAGAAACAATTTGCATGTATGTCACGAGGCACAATAATAACATGCTCACGAATAGATAGTCAGGAATGTTTCAGTGCATACGAATCGGTGGCTGCCAATGTATTAGTAACTGTAGTAGCACAGCTCTTAATGTTTTTCCAGAATAAAATAAATCATTGTTATTCGCCTCATCTGGCAACCACAGTCTATGGATATTCAGGCAATTTTAGGGAAAATCTAAATATGGGGTCTTTAGTTGTTAGTGCTTATAAATTGTTATTTCAATGAATTTAAAATCAGAAAAAAAAGAAATTCGGTAAGGTTTCTTAAAATAGTTCGCAGTTCCACGCTATGCAACACGTAGCGCTTCTTTTTGCGAAGATACGGTACTGCTGGTCTCAGAGAAGTGTGTCACATTGAGGCTCAAAACAAAGAAGGCGAGCACGATGGACGACTCTTGATGGCAGGTGCCTGTCGAACGCAACCGAAAAAACAGACCTGGGAATCACTATTGTGCCATCTCTGAAGCCGTATTTGCAATGTGTTAGGGCTGCCAAGAGTGTGAACAGTGTTTTGGTTGCCATTAAGCGAACTTTTGTCGACATCGATAAAGAACTATTTGGCAAAATATACGGGTCATTTATTCATTCATGTCGCGAATATGGAGTTCAGGCGTGGCGCCCATGCCTGCGAAAAGAACACCAGCTGCTGAGAAGAGTCTAAAGGAGGGCCGCAGAAATTGTGAAGGGAGCTTACGAATGTAGACTAGAAGCGCTTAACGTTTTTCCTCTTGAGTACAGACAAATCCGAGGTGATCTTATACAGAAGTACCGACTAGTGAGGAATCGGGACTGTGCCCTGCATTTTAATAATTTCTGCGCACTCGCCACATCAGCTGACCTTCGTGGAAACTCCCTCAAACTCCGGGGAACCTTATTCCCTCTGGATGTCCGTAGCCATTCGTTTTCACAGCAAGTCATCGGTGCCTGGAACGGATTGCCCGAGGAGTTCATAATGGCGAACTCGACAGATGCATTCAAACGCAAACTGGATTTTTATTTACTTAACAGATACCATTCATATACACAAGCACTGTTAGCAAACACCAACGCTTCGGTCACACATACAGATAAAAAATTGTGCATGTGAATATGTTACTCACTAGTTTGTAGTTACATATTTTATTTTTGATAGTTTGTGCACACGGTTTTCAATAGGGTCTTCGAAAGCATTGCCTACCACCCTAAATATACGGAACTATACTGTTTTTAATTAGTCACCTCTAAGCATAGCATCAACCTTACATTTGAGCTGGGAAAATTATAAACAGAACATATCCCATATTATAAAACGGGGCTATCATTTCGTAGGATGAATTACATATCCAAAGAAAATCAAGAAAACAAAACATTCGTCGTAAGTTCTAAGATCTTGATGACGTGGGAGAATCCAATCTTCTGACGGATCAACATACAGCAAATGATTTAAATTTGGCACTTATTTTTACCTTTAGCTGGCGTGGAATTTTTTTATAGATATCTGGATGTTAGGTATGTACGGGACTACCCATCAAGGCAAACCTACACTCCATTTAAAACTAAAATGCAGAATTTTGAAATAACTGCCGAATTTAAATTATTTCCCGAATTCTGAGCTGTATTCTATAAACATGTCAATGTACCGAGTATGCTTTCGGATGTTTTTGCTTATGTTTAGCAATAAGAAGGGCTGTGGAGTACTCTACGGTCCCTTAACTACTGGTAGACCTATAAACCCTTAGACTGAGCTAAAAGCATTAGGTTATACTGACAAGAGACGCATGAAAGAGGGGATTAATGAGCACTATCCGAGTCCTGTGTTCAAGGCAAAAACAAGGCCTGGTGGTATAATATCGCAGGAAATCTTCATCTCAGCGAAATCCCAAAACTATTTTGCACTTATTTTAATAATGACCATATGTCGCCTTTTCAAAGTTAAATAATTTATCCCCAAAATATCTGGTATATCGTTGAATAGTCTGAAAACACACCAGGGATTCACTTTCGGCGCTTCAAATTTGATTCCGGTTAGATAGGTGTACTGACGACTTCAAAGTCAGTTTTCACAGAATCATTTATTCATTGGCTTCTTCGCAGAAAGAATGACTACGTTCGAAAGGAAATGAACAGTTAAAGAGATACGTTCCTCTCCAAAGAATGACAGCAGAAAAGCAAAGTTACTGAAAACCAATCGGTTAAATAATCTGAGGAACTGCTTCTCCTTCACACTTAGGTGTAATTGAGTCGACAGATTCTTAGCTTCGATGATCACACTTCGGGATTTAGGATCGAAGGCCGCCTAATAACCAATGATGGGCTCTGCATACTCATGAGATAGACGGCACCGGCTGCCAAACCTAAGCAGCGCCATCTCTGCTTGGCAATAGTGTCCTTCATTTTTTCCTGTATCATTGGATAGAGATCAACGTTAGACGGACATTCAAGTTTAATCCATGGATGGTCTAACGCCACTGCTAGAGTCATTCGTTCCGCTGGATCGACTTTCAGGAGGCCCGCAACAAATGATTTCGCTGATTTGGATATATTATCCCAGTGCGGATGATGAAAATGGTACACTCCAGACATTATTTGTTTCTTAATTTCTGCGTCATCCTGATTGATAGAGTAGAATGGTGGGTAACCACAAAGAAGGATGTAACAGACCACACCAATGCTCCAATTATCAACCTCTGGGCCGTAGCCTGCCTTTGTCAACTTGCTTTTCAACAACTCAGGCGCAGAATAATCCACTGTCCCGCAGTTTGTGAGCATTTTTTGTTCGAGTTCCCGAGACAGCCCAAAGTCAGTTATTAAGAGTTTCGAGTCATCCGCCTCCGAATCGAACAGTATATTTTCCGGTTTTATGTCACGGTGTACGTAACCCCGGTCATGCATATACTTCACCGCTCTAATAACCTGAGACATGACGTTAGCTGCGTCCTTTTCGGTGAATTTACCACGTTTTATAATGCGGTCAAACAATTCTCCCCCTTCAGCTAGTTGCATTGCGAGGAAAATCTGTTCACTATCTTCCACTAGCTCGTAAAGTTTTATGAGGTTTGGATGGTCCAGTGCCCGCATAATGGCCGCTTCTCTGTACATCAGCTTTTTAATCTTCCTCTCAACATCCTTGGCAGAGTACTTCTGATAAGTGGGCTTGGTTCTGTCAACTCGTTTGATCGCGACCAGTCTATTGTTCATTAAGTCCTTGGCCCTGAAGACCTCGCAAAATCCGCCATCACCGAGTCGACTTAGAAGGCGATATTTGTCACTTCGCAATGGATTTATTTTCGCCTTTTTACTTTGTTCGCGCTGTTGAGGCGTTTTGCGACTCATGAGGCGAGGTCTGTAGAGGGCATCACCAGACGACTACAGCTCCCTCGACTAATTTATCGATCGACCCAGACTTTAAATCGCGGACAGCCACGCTAGTATGCGCATGCTGGTTTCTACAAGAAGCGCTTTTCTACTCTCGAAATTGTGTTTTTGGGCTTTCTAGGACCTGATAGAAGCCGACGTGAGACATAAAGACATTTTTCGTTCCTGGTAAAAAAGGTATGGATAGCAGGCATATCCTCTCAAAATTTTAGAACAGTAGTCGGCGAGAATTGAAAGGTAAGGCATCTGACTGTTTGGTAAGCGGTCATACACTGTTCATCCTAAATGCTGTTTGAAAACGTGTTTCCTCACAGCGTAGGAAAATTAGGTAATTGTTTGTGGGGACTCCTCTACTGATGTAGACGTGTAGACTAACAAAAATTAGAGTACTACTAGTAACAAGTTGATGAAATAAAAGACAACACATCTCACAAGTCGTACGAGGTTCCTTTAGTTCATTAACCGAAGTTAACGTGCTTTTGTAGCTTTCTGCTGAGTACTGTAGAATACTTACCCCATCTTTGACACTGATACTTAAGAAAATGTTACTTCCCATAATTTTTTACTCTAGTACACCGGCAAGACCCCTCAAAAGACTTTCCATGTCCTCACTTGAAAGATTCATCGAGTACAACCACATATGCTCACCGTTCGCATCCCTGGAAAGTCACCCACATGGTAGGTGGTAGTCCCGTGACCATTCATCAACGTAAAGCCGTTATGAGCTGAGAAACCCTATATTTAGGGAAAACCTTCATTAAAAACGAAGTCGCAAGGATGTCTCTCGAGATCTCCTCTCACGGGTGTACACGCTTAAGAGTTTATTTGCAAAATTCTAAAAATAAGCCTTAGGTTACCAATACGTGGACATCAAAAGGTTCTTATTTCACCGGCTATAAATTTGCACAAAATGTATT